AACAGCTAGTATACACTGAACATTTAATATGTGCTAAGGACAATTCTCTTATCTAAATTAACTCATTTAAATGTCATGACACCAACTCTTTAAGTATTATCTTCAATCTCTATTTTACAGATGAAGAAACTGAGGGCCAGGAAGGTACATTAGATAGAACTAGCAGTATGGTTGCAGAATCTATCTTCCATACCAACATGCAATACTATTGAAAGGGATGGTTTTTCAACCCCAGTTCTGTTCATGTAAGCCAAGAATCATGACCTGAAAACAACATACTGCAGTCGCTGATCAAAACATAATAAACCTTTCTTTTTTATGATGGTAATACATCAAGATCCACTGAACTTTTTACCCTATTTCCTTCCTCTTCTATTTTTTAGTTTCTACTTTCAGTTCTTTTTGAAAATATGTATATATACATATTTCTTTTTCTTTTGCAAATAGTGAGTACACAACATTATCCCACTATACTTGTGTGTGTAGGTGTTTTTGTTTTGTTTTGAGACAAAGTCTCACTCTGTCACCCAGGCTAGAGTGCAGTAGTGTCACAGCAACATCAAACTCCCAGGTTCAAGCAATCCTTCTGCTTCAGCCTCCCACGTAGCTGGGACTACCGGAACCTAACACAACGCAGTTAATTTTTCTATTTTTAGTAAAGACAGGGTCTTGGTCAGACTAGTCTCGAACTCCCGAGCTGAACTCAAACTCCTGCCTCAGCCTCCCAGAGTGCTAGGATTACAGGAATGAGCCCACCTTGCGTTACCTGTTTTCACCTAATATGCTAAGTGGTATATTAGCATAGAGCGGAGACCATTCCATCAATGTATAGACATTTCCTTCACTCTCTTTTCTCCTTCATTCCTTTTTACATTTGTATAATATTTTATTATGTAGATCTATTATGTTTTTATCCTGTCTTCCAATGTGAGAATATCTGTGATGTCTGTAGACTTTTGCTATTATGAACAGTGTCGTCGTTTCCCACTCCCTGGCCGTGTACTCCTAGTTGAGTGCCCTGCCTCACGTAAGCCTGGGAATATGACCACTCCCCTCTTTTATACCACAGAGTGGCTCTAGGAGTATCTTTCATTCATTCAACAAACATTAGCTGGGCACCTCCTGTGTGACACGCGCTGTGCTGGGAACACCGCGGTGACCGAGACACACCCAGTTCCTACCCTCATGGAACTCACAGTCACAGACATAATCAAATAGTACACAGATAAAGGTCTAATAACAAAGTAGACCACACGTGATATGAAGGAAAGAATGGGGGTGGCTTTCGGGATGGAAGGCAGGAAAGGAGGGCTTCGCAAAGGAAGTGACGTTCGTGCCAAGACCTGAAGGATGAATGGGAGTTAGCCAAACTGAATGAGTAAAAGGATGTTGCGGGCAAAAGGGGCAGGCTGTGCAAAAACACTGCCGCGGGAAGGCGCATGGCGGATTTCAGGAACCGAAAGGCCAATGCAGCTGTACGAGGAGGGGAAGGAGCAAAGAGGCGGACTCCAGACCGGGGAGGTCTGCAGGGCGGACGCTCCTGGAGGGCCACATTGGAACTTTGCCCTGAGGGCACTAGAGTGCCAAGGAAGGGTCCTAAGCAGGAGGAAGAAACAGTAGTCCCGAACGCCACTGCTCCCCTCTCCTCACAGCGGCCCTCCCCTCGCCCGTGCCCCTGTCTCTTGGGGGCTCCTCCTCCCTTGGACCCCGGACTCTCACGCCGCCTCTCGCTCACCGCGGCTCCGGCCTCCGTCCCCCTCGCGCCCCCTCAGCAGCGCCTCTTCACAGATGCTGCCGCAGCCGCCATCTTCCGTTCGCCGTCAGGAACACTGCGCACGCGCCACACTCGTGGGGCCGCCGGGAAATGGAGTCCAGACAGCGACCCGCGCCGGCCCCCGCCTGGAGCTTCGCTGGTGGCCTTTCGCCCTCCCCCAGATTACGCCGGGGCAGTATTTCATTTCCGGCTCTGGAGCACCATGCCTTCTGGGAAATGTAGTCCTTCGGTGGCGGCAACGAGCGGAACGGGAGCTTGAGGATTCTGGGAAATGCAGTTTTCGGTGGTTCTTAGTCCCTGGACGGCTGGCTTGTGGTAAGAGAACGCAGAGTTCCGGCGGCTAAGCTGGTAGATCTTGGAGTTGGCCTGTTATCTTAGTGAGATCGAGCGGAGGCTCCGATCCCGTCCACCTTTGGGCCTGACCCTTTACACTCTCTGAAGCATTTCGAGCCGTCGGAAGCCTCAATCTTCCCGTCCGTCCAATGGGAATGGGATTTCGAGAATTTTTTATGGGTCCTTATAGTGGCAAATAGGTACCCCCGGAGTCCACAGCGCTCTAAGCACCATTCCTTTGCGACGGTCATTCCGGACTCTGACTTTTCGCCATCTCAGGTGGAGATGATGAAACCTCTTGGGATAGAAAGGCTCCACAGTTCAGTTCCCTGGGGCATTAGTATTAGCAGCGTCTCCCACTGGTCGCTCCCTCCTCTTCAGCCTTCTCCACCTCTTGAGTCCCGTGGCTGCAGTTCCCGGCGCCTGAGGTCTGTCTTCTCCCAGTCCCGCAGGGGGCGCCCCAGGCCGGGCGCACCGCCCTCGGGGAGGCGGGAGGGGAGCCCGGGGCGGGGGAGGGTGGGGTGGGGGGGTGTCCCGACTATAAAGCGTGGCCGCCTCCCGCGGCGGCCGGGACAGCTGGACCCCGGGGCGGTCGGACGGGAGGGCGCCGGTGGAACTCGGACCATTCCCACTGCGAGAGCCGAAGCACTCCATTCCCCCGTGGCCAGAGCGGGGGCAGGTGGGGGCGCAGGCCCAGGGGATGCTGGGCTCGGTGAAGATGGAGGCCCATGACCTGGCCGAGTGGAGCTACTACCCGGAGGCGGGCGAGGTGTGTCCTCGGGGATGGCGGAGCGGGAAGTAGGGGGCAGGTATCAGGGTGTGAACTTAAATAGAGTAGGAACAGGGCCGTGAGCTTAAATGGGGGCTAAGGCTCCTAGTTGGGGAACCTAAGAATCAGGTACTTGGAGACCAGGTGTGAGAGTCAGGGACTGGGACGAGCCATGGGAGCGTGGTGTAGGCAGGCTAATTGAGGCCAGGGCTTAAATGGGAGTCAGGAAAATTTAGGCAAGGGTCAGGTCGCACCTTAAACTGAGAGCTGGGTGGTGGTGCCCCAAAATGCTAGGAATTAAAATTAACAAACCACAGTTAAGAATCAGAGTTCCAAGGTAGAGCATAGAGTTTAGGGGTTTCAGGAAATTGGGTTCAAAGTCAAAGGTGGGTTGGGGGAGATAGAGACTAAGAGATAGTGGAGGAGATCACCTTTAAGGCAAGTCTGCTGGGGGCGGGGAGGAGCTCAGGGCTAGAACAGTGTTAAATATGGGGGATCCTGGGGTAGAAATCAGAATTAAGGTTCAAGGATAAGGATTGGCTGGTGATCTAGGATAGGATCAGAAACAGGGGTCGGCCCTCAGGGGTAACAGATGGAGGGAAACGCTCGGATTTGAAGCTTCATTTCAGGAGTCTGAAATAACAGGTGGCTTAGAGTTGGGGCTTAGATAGATGGGAGCCCAGATGGAGTCAGTTGGGGATCTGAGAGTAAGATATTTGGACATCAGCACTGGCAGGAGAGAGATCAATCTCCATACCCATCACCCCTATCTACAACTCTCAGCAGAGACTCCCGAAATCAGAGGCTACAGGGTTTCAGATTGTGCATCTCCCCACACCTCTATCCAGCAATCTTTAGCAATTGCTGAAGTTCAGTCTCTCCTCAGACAAGGCTTCCCTGGGGTAGGGGGTGTCCTAATTCCTGTCCCCCAGCAGACATAAAGTCCTTCCTCGAGTCTAGCTCCCCTTCCTCCTGTTGCAAGGATTCCTGTTCTGTATCTCACTTGCTGTATAATCAACATTGTGAGGTTGGGGGTTGGGAGTCGGGGTCCCAATCTATGAGTTATGGAGGGTCTGGACACTTGGATTCCTAACCTGGAAAGGAATGGTGGGTTTGAGGGGAAGGTCAGGGACTGGGATGGCTGGGTTCTCCATCTGGTCATTATTTATAGGAGCCCCAGTGTGCCTGAGTCTTGCTTGGGTCTGGGTTGAAGTTGTAATGTGGGACTCCTGGATCCCCAGGCTTTGGGGCTTGGCAAGGTTCCCAGGAGGGGCCGATTCTGGGCCTGGGGAGGTGTGAGGTGCACGTGGGGTGGGGCAGGGCCAACTTGGAGGAAGGGATTGGGAGTGCTGAGAGGTGGAGGTGGGGCAGCTGGGGGTATCAGCTGTAGGATTGGGAAGGCACAGACCTGGGTGGGAGGTGGAGGCTCCAGGTAGTGAGGGGATCCCTTCCTGACCCTGGAGAACTCTGAGCCTGCAAACATGATTTAAGGGAACTGACTACAAATCAGTGTTTCAGGGATACATCTTAAGAAGTAAATTTGGGGGGGTCTAGGCAGGAGAAGTAAATGTTTAGAAACAGTCTAAATGGGTCCAAGTTTAGGAGACAATTTATATGGAAATTGTGTCAGAAATGAAGGGACAGCCTGGCATAGTGAGGACAGATAGGCATACTATGGAAGAGTAGTAGATGATGTGGACGGCTAGAAATCATTTGGGGGATTCTGTCTGAGGGTCTTCCCAGTGTTCCCATCAGGTAAGCCTACCTCTTCCCCTTGGGTCAAAACAGTGGGGAGAGAAATACCTGTATTCAACCAACAACTGGGAACTTAGAAAGTCCTCAAACCACCTCTTGCCTGCTAGGGTGATGTTGACACCTGGAGACTGGCTCCCTGTCTGAAGGGAGCTTGGGGCATCCCCGCTGGCCTCTGATTCTTATGGATCAGCTGGTCCAACCGCTCCTCCATTTTAGAGATGGAAAATCTGAAACCCTGAAGGTGCTGTGGTCCTGAGTTGGGTCTGTGGCCAGAAACTAGACTTCTGGCTTCACACTGCCTTCCTCTGTTCCCTGTCACACCCTTCTCCAGAGACAATAAGGAAATGAAAGAGGAGAAATTCTAGCCTCCTAATGTGGGGGTGCAGATCCCTGGAGGGCTTTCCCCCGAATCTCAGCCCCACCCTGGCGGGGGAGATCCGGTTCAGACCCGGACACCAGGGGTTCATCGCAGCCCCGGGGCGTGGGAAAGCCTAGGGTGGATTAGGGCAGCTGGAGTGCTTGAGGTCAGACCTCAAGTAGGACTTCCGGGAGGGTGGGGAGCCAGAAAAGGAAGGCACTGGGGTTCCAATCTGTCTTACTCTGAGATACCCGAGAGCCTGCCTGGGTTGGAGAATGGGCAGTGATGAGTCATAGGGATTTAGGAATGCTCTGTAGATCCCCAAATCCATCACCTTCTCCCCTCATCTCTTTGCTTATCCTGGGGATAGGGCAGAAGCCACCAATGGGAAATGGGGAGAGTGGGGGATAGGAAAGGACAGTTCAGGGAGGAGGAGAGAGCTGTGGCTCCAATTTCACCTTGAGACTTCAGGGGAGCTGCAGATGCTGAGGAAGGAGAGATAGATAAAAAGGTGTGCCTAAGGAGGCAGGGGGTTGCAGGCAGGAGGGGTAGAGAGAGACAAAGGGAGAGGTAGTGCCAAGGAGAGGAGAAAGGGAGATGGGGGGAAGAGAGAGGACTATAGAGGGGTAGAGAGGAAGAGCAAAGGTGGTGGGGGAACTGTCAGAGAAGGAGGTGGGGAAAGAGAAAGATGGGGGAGGGGAAGGAGTGTAGAGGTACTGACACAGGGACAGAGATGGACAGATAAACACAAAGACAAAAACAGCCAACAGAGAGATTCACAGAGATGAGAGAAAAGAGCTACCTGGAGAGACATTTGAAGTAGAGAGGGGAGAGTTTCTCCATTGGAAGTCAGACCTGGGGTTGGTTACCACCTGTCCCTGGCTCCCTAAGTGATGCTGGTAGTACCGTTTTCTCTCTGGATGTTAGTACCTGCAGACACTTACAGTGGCAGGGGACTAGACAGTATCCACTAACCCACAGCCACCATGGCTCTGGCCAGAGCTATAGATAGCATCCTCAGTGCCCCGAGACCCCAGATTGGGGAGAGGACAGGGTGGACAGGGGCAGATGGAATATGGGGGAGAGAAGATAGGAGTCAGTGGATGAGAGGAGAAGATACAGACAGAAAGAGAAAAACCACTGCCCAGCATGCTTTTTGTTTTTCTTATTTATCCTGTTCACTGTCGCCTTCCTACTGGACTGTCACCTCCATGAAGATAGGCATTTCTGTCTGTTTTGGTCACTGCTTTGATAGCATAATACAGAACACAGGTCTGGATGCAGAATCACAGCTCTACTCCTTCTTTGCTGTATGACCCCCCCACAACCTCTCTGGGCCTCAGCTCAGTCACCTGTAAAATGGATATCATCATCATAATGCCTCCCCCAGTATGGTTGTAAAGATGAACAGTGCCTGGCAGAGAAGCTGGTCGATAAACACTTGTTGAATGGATGAGAATATCAGGGGTTATTTAGAGAGACATAACAATGCTTCCTGCTCGGCGCCTATAGCTCAACCGGCTAAGGCGCCAGCCACGTACATCTAAGGTGGCAGGTT